GGGGGGGGGGGGGGGGGTGAGTGTGTGTGTGAGAGCTGGGCCGGGGGGATCCCTCCTCCCCGGGGGTTCTGTGTCTCAGCGAGGCGCGGGGGTTGCCTCTTCTTTGCTGATGGCTGCCCTGGGTGAATTTCTTCTCCCTTGAATGTGTCCTGGCACCTCAAAGGATCCTGAGCTGGAGCAGTGGGAGGTGGATCAGTGACGCGGGAGTAAAGCTCCTCAGTCAGAGGGTTGCAGACGAGCCCTGTTGCCCGCTTCCCTCCCTTAAGCCATCTTGGGTTTGTTTCAATCAACCTGAATGTATTTTCCTTGCTGATTGTACGTGTTTTCGCAGCCCAGTGACTCCTCTGAGGAATTCTGTCTTCCGTGCCTCGCTGGCTCGGAAACTGCCCCAGTTTGAACAGAAAGCAGATCTCTCTTCTCGTCACCGCTGTCGATACGATGTGAGCTCTAACCTTGTGCCCTTTTGTTCCCTCTTCATGCAGCGTGGAGTGAAACCTAAAAAGGTGCTGCTTTTTTTGACAATTACTCTGTGTGTTGCCGAGTCTCCTGGCCGCATGAAGGGCCGCCCTGGTGCATCCCAGCTCATCGTCACCCATTGCCACTGTGCTCCATCGCATGTTTGCTCATTGCATGCGCTCCCCCTGCCGCCCCCCACGTGCTCGGGAGGAGACGCAGCCTCCGCCCTGGCTCTGGCGTTGGCACCGTGGTGCTGCCCGGCCGCTGTGCGAGGGAGGGCCGAGCCTGGCAGCCCGGCTTTGCACCTCACGCTCAGCTGGGAGGTTTTCTGCCGTTCCAGGGAGCCGCAGTCGGGTTTCCAGCCTGCGCCGGGTACTGCCATACCCGCGGGCTGTGCCCGGCTTCGCTCCCCACGTGCGCGCCCGCACGGTTTTTCCCTCGGCGCACTCTTGAGTCTCAGAGGCCATCAAGCCTGCCCGGGGCTTGCGGTGTGCCTCAGCCCGGCCTTTGCCGCCGCCTTGCCCCAAGCAGCTAAACCGTGCCCAGTTCAGTCCAGCGGGTGTTCTCCGGGCTGCGGGTGTGGGCAGCACCGGCTCCACGCCGCCGGGGGAAGCGTCAGCAGCGCGCTCTGCGTGGAAACGTGTTTCAAACTCTAAATCTGTTTCAGGGCCCTTATGCAGCCCGTTACTGACCAATATAGAGGAGCTTTCTAAACAGTACAAGGTAACGCTACATAATGAGCAGCTTTAATCTGTAAAACCGGGGAAAAAGATGCCGTGCTGCTGAGAAACGGGCTTTGGTGACCTGGAGCCAGGGACTGCTCTGCTTGTGCGTGGTCCTGGCCTTCTCCTTGGGCTGCGGGTTCTCCCAAGGTAAGAGCACCCCGCAGCCAGCTTGTTCCTAACACTTGGCAAAGCCAAACCCTTTTTGTATCGCTTCCTACCAAAGGGAACTAAAACTACAAAGCTCTCAGGATTGTTTCCCGTGGGCTGCCTGGGGGATGTTTCCCTGCCATGGCCACAGTGCGAGAGAAAAGCGGCTCTGGGGGCAGTACAGCACGAGGAGGGGACACGGTACCTGCAGGGTCCCCGGCGCAGGTGCTGCCCGTCCGCAGTACCTGCAGCTGAGCTCTTCTGTCCGATCGCTTTCCCTTTGGGTTTTGGGTGCAGAGATGGTCCAAAGGGCAGCGTTTGTCCACGGCGAGTCTGCAGGCAAGGAGCGATGCAGAAATGGAAGGAGGAGCTGCCGAGGGGTGGCCGGGAGCCGCTGTTAGCGGGTGCTCCCCCTGTCCTCACCCCGCCAGGCCCCCCTGGCCGAGGTCTCTGAGTGCCCCGGAGGCTGCCCCGCGCCTCCCTGCGAGCTCTAGCCGATCCCCGCAGCCTGGTCCCGCTGGTTGTTCGGCTGACGGGAAGAGCTGCTCGTTCGAGGGCGTGTTCCCGTGCCTCCCCTCGTCACCCGGGTGTCGGGGCGGGGAGCTCGTTCGCCGGCGGCCATGCGGATGCAGCGGTGCAGAGAGGCCGTCCTGACTCGCTGTGTGTGGAGGGGGCTCCTCACAGCCCTTCTCAGCGCCACGTGTTTGCTGATGGCGCCTCCGAATTTAACTTTTTCAGCCTCTAATAACCTCGTTAGCTCTCTGCCCCCCTCCTGTCGCAGCGCTTGACCTCACTCAAGCGTGCGCGAGTCGCAGCCTGGTTGGTGTGACCACAAAATAACAAATGTGATTAGCAGATCAGTGCTTATTCATGAGATTAAGGTGGCTCTTTGCATGTTAAATATAGACTTTAATCATACTGAAAGCTGCTGCTTGCTGCTTTTTTGTGCTGGATGGCCCTTACCCTCCCAGCTCTTCTCCCTCTCTCTGTTCTCTTTGCCTTGGGTTTGCTGCTGCCTTTGCGCTGGCTGGGAGTGGTGGGGCACGGGCCGGGCTAGTGCTGGGGCCAGCAGACCCCTGGGCCCCGAGTCTGGTGGGCATCGGTGGCCTCACCTCCAGGGCTGCACGGAGCCAGCAGTCCCTCCTGGGGGACACGAGGGGTGCAGGGTGTCGGGGGGTCTCCTTCCTCGCATGGAGCCTGTAGCTACTCGGGGGCCAGTGATCCAGGCTGGCCCCGGCACGTGGTGGCCCATCTGGGCAGAGTTTGCCAGCCCCGAGGCTGGGGTGGCAAGAACACCGAGTGGCTGCTTAAGGAGCAGCAAGAGGGTGTTTCTCTACTCATTTTCTGAGCGAAACGGGTTGTGTGCCCCTTATCTCTGCAGTGCCCGGGTCAGTGTTTAGCTGAGCGTTTGGCCAGGAAGGCCGGTGTGACACCGAGCCACAGACATCTCCAGTGAGACAGAGGGGCTGGCTCCGCTCCAGACCCCTGGGAGCAGGGACCTCCTTGTCCCGGTGTGACGGAGCCGTGACGGCCTTGCACTGCAGTGCTGGGGGGGTGCGGCCTTCGGGAAAGGCCGGACGGGTTCTCTGGTGCGCAATCTGAAAGAATACAGCGTGCACGTCGGTTCTGTTTGGCTCGGGGAGTCCTTGAGCTGCGGGTGGTTGGAGCCTGCGAGAGTAGCCGCAGCGGAGCGTTCCCGGGGTGCTCTGCCCCGCGGTCAGACGGGCCACGGCCGCTGGCACCAGGGCGGCGGGTTGTTTGTGCCGGGGCTTCCAGCTCAGCCCCGGGCTCCTGCGGCTGGGGGGGAGCAGGGTCCCTGTAACGCCGCGGCCGGTGGGCTGGGCGTGGAGATCCGGCTTCCTCCCCGAGGACACCGCTGGGCTCCCCGCGAGCTCGGCCTGCCCGCTGGGGATGTCGGGGGTAGGACGCCAGTGGCAGGACACACTCTGCCTCACCGGCGGGTCGTGTCTCATCTGCTTGATCTAATCCAGTCCCACCAGGTCTGATGTTGCCGTGGCAGCAGCCCGGCTCGGCCTCCACTGCCCCGTGCCCGGGCAGCATCATCCTGCCCTGATCGTGCTGTGACAGCCGGGTTGTGCGGCTGGAAGGGGACAGACCCCATAGGAGTGTCTGCAGCAGTGGAACGGGCTCGTCCCTGGTGCCCCGTTGTGTCTGGAGACCCTCAGGCCTTGGACACGGAGGGTCCCGGCTCAGCCGGAGCAGGGACACGCAGCCAGCACCACCCTGGGCGCTGAGCCCGGTGCCTGGTGCCTCTGTTCTGGGGTGTCTCCCACCACAGGTCACCTGTCCTGCGACAGCAGGGCCTACAGCCCCTTTGACACCTGTTTCGTGGCTTTTTTTTTTTTTCCATCTAATGGATCAGCTTTGTCCCAGCTCCAGTAACGTTCCCGTTCCGTCACCCCAGCTGGCATTTGTGTGCCGGAGCCGGATCCCGGGTGTTTTGTTCTGAGCCCCATCACGAGTGTGTCTCCGTCGCCCTCTCTGCTGCGCCCTTGACCTCGCTGTGATCCCCTCGTCCTCCGTTTGTCGTTGTGCCCCGCCATTAGCGGCCTCGGCAGCGCCGGCTGCGCAGGGAGCAGATGGCCCGGGGAGGGCACGGAGCGCTCGGGGTCCAGATGGTTTCTTTTTAAAGAAGAGGGGCCAACCTGAGCCCTGTTAATCCTTTAAAGGAAAGAGTAATCCCATTACCTCATAAAACGGGCCGAAAGCGCGTCCCGCGAGGGGCTTCCGGGGGGCCTGGGCACCCGTTTTCACGGGCCCGCGTTGCTCTCGGCTGGCTGACAAACTGCCCTGGCACCTCTTCGTGCCCCCGCGGGCCCTTGGCGGGAGCTGGCGGCCAGCTGGGCGCTGGGCAATGATGGTTCTGTCGTTGTTGACCGAGGGGAGGGCCGGCAGAGCACGGAGCCCTGAGCCGAGCAGCATCTGGCGCCACAAGCTGGTGGGACCGTGGAAATGAGCCGGAGCGGAGGCTCCTGCTCTGCACGAGGGGGGTTCTGGGTTCTGCAGCCCGCTGTGTGCTGGCGCTGAGGGCTCCTGGGTGCTCTGACGGCTTGAAGATAATTCACTTCTCTTACCTATCCCTGGAGCTTTTTAAAGGACGGCTCTAAAGCATCCGGCAGCTCTTTTTTTCTGCCCTTAAATTGCATTTTCTCTTCTGCTGCTTCTGCCTAAGCGAGCAGCTCCGGAAGGCGCGTGGCCAGCCCGTGTTGGTGTCTATCAAATCCCGGATGCGGGAAGAATTTATATATTCTCCATTTAGAAACCGGGGGAGTTGGTTCATTAGAGCAGCTACTGCCCTGCCCCCCTTGCTGTAATACCCTTAACTCTCTTAGCTGAATGGTAAATCCGTGCAAGCTTTCGAGCGGCTCCTGCAGCAACGTATATGGCACTTTGTTCACGAAGGGGCTTACGGCCCCGAATCGAGGTTGGTTTTGTCTGAGAACACGTAATAACGGTCGTGGGCCATCCTCCTGCCGCCTGGGGGGGAGGAAAGCCTCACCCCCGGGGCCGGCCCGCGGCTGGGGGTTCTGCTGGAGCCTTTGGGTGCCTTCAGCTGACTCCAGAGCTGGGTCTGTGTAAAGCGGCTCTTGACCCAAACCAGGCTTACAGTACAGGGTAATGGAACATGGAGGTTCTTCATTCACGTGTGCTGGTAGAGTTTCAGAACTGTCACCTGCAAGCCCATCCCCTGGTAACGCCGTCTGTCTGCCCACAGCGGTGAGGAGCTGCTGGAGGGGTCCTGAGCTCAGCTCACTTGCCCACAGGGGCTCTGCTGAGGGCCGCAGCCAGTTAGAAGGGACCCAAAGGCTACTAGGTATGTTCAGGTTTGGCTACCAGATGTGTTTGCCAAGCATCCTTTCTGGGGAGGCAGTGCCCTGGCCTGACATTCGGCCCTTTGGGGCTGGCTCTGTGCGCCTGCAATGGGCTCTTCCTCCGCTCGCCCTCATCGTTCATCCTCACAGCTGAGGAGGAAGGAGCTGGCTGGCGACGGGGCCGGGGAGCCCCAGCACTGCCAGGCTGCGAGCTGTTACCGGGAAGGTGGCCCCTGACTCGGCAGAGCTGGCAGCCCCAGCGCGGAGGTGGTGGGGAGGCTGGTGAGGATCCCTGAGGATCCCAGCGCTCCTCTGAGGAGCAGGATGAACCCCGGTGGCGAGCAGATCCTTGCACAGGGCTTGCCAGGCTCGGGCCTACTCGTCAGCCACGGTTTTGGCAACTGCGAGCTGGGAAGGGAGCTGAGAACGGGAACCCAAGTGCGAGGCCAGAGCAGGGTGAGCGCAGCCAGCGAGAGAGCAGAGAGCCCGCTGCCCCCTGCCCTGAACCGAGGAGATCTGTGGCTTCCCTGGGCGCTCAGATTCCTTACAGGCAAAACCACTCGGCACGGGGAGACGGGCCCGGGAACAGCCGGTGCTTGGACCGGTGATACAGTGTGTGCTCGGGTGTGGGGTGAGCAGGCGACTGTCCCCATGAGCCACCGCTGCCCCTGCGTGGCTTTTGCCTCCTCAGGGCTTCGTGGCACATTCGTTGGTTTTTCTCTCACATGGGCTGTGGTCGAAGGCTTCTGACGTGGAGCTCAAAGGACAAACCCGGTTGGGCTCCGCATTCCGTTTGCATTTGCCGGTGGGGAGCGGCGCAGCCGGCGCGGCGCTGGGGAGCGGGGCTGTGCAGCAGCAGCTTCTATGGGGTCACCCAGGGCCGCTCTCCTTCGAACAACAGAAAGTTGTTAATTGCTTGAAAAGGCGTGGTTTTAATCTAGGCTCATGTGAAAGGCAGTCCTGTAAAAGCACGCGGCTCTCTGGATAAATTCTGGCCTTAATGCGCCCAGCCTGGTTCCCCGAGAGGCAGCGCTCTCATCTCAGCACCCCCGCAGGGAGGGTCCCCACCCCCAGGACACGGCCGCAAGCTGCTGAGCGGGGGGTTTCGTGCTGCCTCTGGTTCTAGTGACCCGCGGTCTGACCCGGGCAGGCCTGGCCCCGTCCCGCGGGGAGGGTTGAGCCGCCCGTGGGTGCCCTGCCGCGGGGTGCGGAGCGCCGCTGTGTCCCGGCTCCTGCAGCCGCTTCTCTGGGTCAACTCCCAAAATCTGCTGCTTTGTCTCTCCTGAGAGCTTGCCCAAGCTCTTCCTTTTGGCTCTTGAGCGGGATATTTAGCCATCACGCAGCTCGCTAGAACATTATCTGCCTTGTTTTGATAAATTGCTGTGGGGGCGGAGGCGTTTTCTCGGGACAATAATGTTTTTTAGCCTGTCACGTGGAGAAAGTACGAGAGGTCAGTGTTACCACCACTGGAAGCGACTCCGTGCTGCAGGGGCCACTCTTTCCTCACTGTTCATCTTCTGTAGCTGTTCAAAAATTTTTTTTTTTTCCTCACTTTAGGAATTCTCAAAGGTTGAGGCAGCCCCACCTGTTGCCAGAAGCACCTTTGTATAAACCTGTGTCTACAACACAGCTGGAACACAGCTGTCAGGTGCCTTTTGCATTTTTTGCCAATTTGCCCGTTTCTGCAGTGGAAGGGTGGAAGGCCCGTCCGTCCCTGCTCGGGGCAACGCCGCTTCCCGGGGGAGCCCCGCGTGGCACGAGAGGCCTCGGCAGGACAGGGCTGGCCGTTGCCACTCCCGGGACGTGCGCAGGGGTTTGAGGAGTGTTTTCAGCAGCAGGAGGGTTTGGGGGGTTGCTCCACACCGACCCCTGGCCCAGGGCTTGTGACCCTCCGGGGCACAGGCGGTGCCAAGATCCCGGTGCCGGGAAACCCTGGGGGTCGGAGATGGAGTCGCGGATGGGGAGCGGAGGCGTCGCTGGAGACGCCGAGATCGATCTCGGCTGCTGGGAGAGCGTGTGAAGTGTCACGGTAACTTGATGTTCCTGCCCTCCGATGCGAATGACCTTGCTCACTCTGTGGGAGTCCCATGTTTGCTCGGGGACTCAGTGCACCAGAGTCACCTTTTATCCAGTGGGAAGCTCCTCGCTGCACCCTCGTTCTGCGTTCGGCACCCAACCAGGCACTGTTTGAGCTGCTGGTTCAACGGTACGTCAGGCTCTGGAAGAACTTCAACTTGAACTTTAGTTAAAACCAAACCAAAACCCAGGACTTGGAGAGTCTCCGAGGAGCTGAAGACCCCGACTGACCCCCCCACCGCTGTGGGTAATTTCCAGTTACCCCGAGGACTTGGGAGCGAGTCCGATAATAAACCGAGAGCGTGGGCTGATGTGTGGGTGATTCAGCACCTTGGTTGGTCCTCACAGCGGTTCAGAGCAGCGATGATGGGGATGTTTTGGTCAATAGATGATCCTCAACTGCCAGGGTGGGGTTTGGGGGGAATTGGTGGGAAATTTGTGCAGGCTGTCGGCTGGTCTGTGTTTCTCGGCGCGGTTGCAGCTGCTCGCCTCGAGGCCAGGAGGGTGGGTGGGGTTTGGAAAGCGTCGCCCTGGCGTTGGGACCTGCTGTTTTTACTGACAAGTATGGAAATCACTTTCGGAGCAGAAATGTTGAGAGAGTTTTTCCTGTATCAGAGCAAACCCCCAGTCTGCATGTTTCGAGTATGAGGGTGGGAAATTCCACAGGTATAATTAATTACTGAATTTTGGGCTGTTGGAAGCATCACTTGAGTCTCTTACAAAGCACTCCTGATTTTTGATCTTTGGCTGAAGGGAAAGGGCAGAATAATCGGAGGGGAGCCGTGGTCTACTTGGCCCATCCGTGCCCCCCTGACCTCTCCACCAGCGTTGTGAGGGGCTGTGGCTGCACCCTCACACCCCCCCCCTCAGCCCCTCCCGGCAGCGCGTGCCTGCACCCAGGGAGCCCCGTCCCAACCCCTCACGAAGAAATCTCCCCATTACCGCCTAATTACCCCTGGTCCGTTATTGCCTGCGGTTCATGTGCCAGATTGCCCTCTAGCTTTCCCCTCGGCCCGTGTCCACCCCTCGGATGCAATCCCAAAGCGACTGAACCTTTGCTTGCTGGGCAGGGTGGGGGTTTTTAAGCTCTTGTAGAGTCGTCCTGGAGGCTTTGGGCAGCGGGAAGGGCAGAAAAATTCCTGTCCTCCATCTCTGGCGAAAATTAAGTTAATGGGCTCTGGGAGGGGGCAGCTTTTGTTGTGTTAGAAGACTTTTAAGAGTCTCATAAAAACACAGATTTAGATTTTTAGAATATATGTTTGCACCCGCCATATATACTTGTATCTATACGCATATTCTAATGCTCTCAACTTTCCGAACCTCACTCCGGGGAGAACATCTCTGCAAGGCCCCACAGATGTTCCTTTTCCTGACGCCGAAGTTCCTTAGCGCTCGCACCCCGCTGCGGCTGGGTGCAGCCCGTGGCACCGCAGGCTGCGGGGCTGCACCCACCCGACTGGGAATTTTAACCGGCCGGTGAAATTTGCCTTTAAAGCCTTTTTTTTTTTTTTTTTTTTTTT